ACAATTTTTTTTATTAGTATTGTTGTCCTTTTCATAGGTCTGACATTTTTCTTCTTGAGGGGAAGCTAGTCTTGCTTTTGCCCATTTTGGATCATATGTTTATTACAGCGTTTATCTTTTCATATATCTAGCTGATAAAAAGCATTTGTCGACACACCCTGTGTACTCGTGATGAGGGCAATGAGAATTGAATTGAGGCTGTTTTCATCCATAACAAACTCAAAATTCTGGTCGGTTGATAATTTTCACATAGCCCCGTTACATTTACAGAGTGCAAAGTAACCACTCTACTCACAGCATGGGATTATTAGAAGCAAGCATTTGGAAGTCTGTCCTTGAAGGACTAATAGGAAAGCTTGTATTAATCTTTACATGAGCACTTGACTTTTTTTTTAAACTCCCATTATCATGTAATGGCAGTTATGTTTGCAGTTCCCACATTAAAGAAGGCCTGAGAATGTATCCCCAAAAGCGTGAGCTTAAAATACATGACTGCTGAATGAAGTTTTTTGGTGGACAGTAGTCCTGGCAAAGGCTCTGAAAAAAAAAAAGTGCTAACTGTAAATGACTTCTATTTATCTAAATATGGATTGCTTAGGAAACTTGAGACTCCATTAAAGGTATTTGTAATTACTTAGGCCAACTTTTAAAATTGTATGCCACATTTAAGATCAGGTATATTTTCCAAATTAGTTTGCTCCTTTATAAATCAAATAGACATGAGGGAAGAAGACACTTAAACTTTGTATCACAGATTGAATTGTCCAATTTATTGAATTTGATTTTTGTAAGACTCAAAACTCATTAGGGTCATATGGTTATCCGCTTAGATATTTAGGAAACAATTTGGCAATTTTGTGTTTTTTGACATTATCATTCTCTTACGGTGCCAGTGTTTTAAAATAGCGTTCTTTTAATTTTACATGCTTTTGTGATGGAGTGCTGTTTTGTTACATAATTTTGACTTGGATATTTTCATTTGCATTTGTTTATGTAATTTCAGGAGGAATACTCAACATCTGAGTCCTGGATGATACTAATAAACTAATAATTGCAGAGGTTAAAAAAAAAGATAAACTAATGAGAAATTGAGTATATAGTAGAAACAACATGAAATCTGAGACTGGGAGAACATTTTGGAAGCCCACATCCACTTTTTCACTTTACAAATGAGGAAATCTGAATCCCTGAGACTATAGGTAGCAGGTACCAGGCCTTTAACCAATTTATTGAGTCCATTTTATAGACGGGCCTAGCTTTCTTTCTCACAAGCAACCTAGAGACTAAAAGGCAATCTGCAATGCAATCCCTCCTGTGGATGCAAAATACAAGTAATTGACAGTGCTTTGAAATACTGCCTTCTAATTGCCACTGCAGCCAGTTTAAATTCCTAAAATTCTCCCTGTCCAGTCCCAACTGGATGCTATTTTGCAAGTCAATTGTATCATTGATAAACAAATAAAAAACACATAAAATCACCCAGGATAGTGAATTTCTAATAGAACAAAACTCACCTACTCTGCTTTTTCACAGGCAGGTGACAAAGCATTTTGAAAAGATTCAGAACAACATGCATATTTCATTTAAACATTTATTTTTAAGCTGAAGATGTATTGTTATTCATTCACTCTAGGGGTATAAATATTCCAAGAATATCTACAAATAGTAACTGATATGAGAATCATAGTATGCATCTTCTTGGACAAGAATTAATAAAAATTCTAATGAAATAAATTTTCAGTCAATTTTGGAACATATATCCAATTCTAAAATAGAGAGTACTCCTGAATTCAACTGACAACTATTGCAGCACATTTCCATTGGCACAAAATGGAAAACAAGTCCCCTTTATTTTTAATTATCTTATAATTTTCTGAAGAAGGTAAGTATTTATATTCCCACAACCACTCCCTAGTCCAAGCCACCATCATTTCTTGCCTAAAGCCCCAACAGAGCTCCCTTTGCTCTACTCTGACCTTTCTCTAATCCTGTCCTGCTCTTAGAATAATAAAGTACAAACTCCTTAGTTTGGTCTACAGAGCCCGTGCACTCTACCTCTGCCTCCTCTACAGTTTCCTCTCCTCCATTTTCCCTTCCTGTTCAATCTACTCCTACTCACATTAGCCGTCTTTCTCTGCTGTGAAAGTAAATTTGGTCTTGTCTCTAACCTTTGAACTTACTGTATCTTCTGTCTGAAAACTTTTACCTCATTCTTCAAATAACTGACTTAAGCTTACAGATTTCAAATATAATCTCTTCAAAGATGCTTTACCTGAGTAGTTGGTTTCAACAAGTATCCGACTTCTCACCTCATCACCTTCTAAAAATGACAATATGCTGTTTATTTCCTACATCACCCTATTCACTTTCTAAAAACAGAAAAATGCCTTGCATCTATTAGATATATCTTATACATGTTAGCATTAATAAAAAACCTTTCTTAAGACTTTTAAGCTGTCATGACTTATATGACTTTGACATTCTAAAACTGAACAAAGGGGCCAACTAATAAAAAATATCTATCTACTTACACACCCATTTGTCTATCTACCAATGTTGCGAAAAGAAACGGAACATTTAGCAGAAAAAGCAATAACGGTTATAAAAGAACCCAAAATTCAGTTACCCACAACTAACTTAGACATGTCAACTTCATTTTCCTAGACTTCGATTTGTATATCAAACAGGTTATGTTAGATAATTTTAAAATAAATTTCCAGTTCTAAATTTTAGTCATTTGAAGTACATATCCCTAAATTAAAAAATCATTAATATTCCATTAAATGTGCATCTGTAATAACTTGAGCACAGGGAAATAGACATTTCAGTCACTCGGTTATGGGCTTTCTATCCATTTGTAGGTTATTTGTGCTGTAATTTTTCCTTTTGATGTCTCATCCTGAGTGTCTTCCATTTCCTCCCCGAGAGTGGGGGAAAGAATATTATAAAATTATACTGAATTATGTAGTCATTTCTCCCTTAGGAAATAAATGTACTTCTGATAATGTATGTATGCAAAAATTTTTAAATAATCCAGGGGTACTAAGAAGAATCAGTTTTTAACACATGTATTTGCTAAACATGTGTTACCACTGTTTTCCAAATAACATGCAATAATAAATTTGTTGCTCTTTCTGTTAAAACTAAATCCAGCCCAGATGGTGTGGCTAAGTGGTTGAGCACTGACCCATGAACCAGGAGGTCACTAGGTCAATTCCCGTTCAGGGCACATGCCTGGGATGCAGGCTTGATTCCCAGTAGGGGGCATGCAAGAGGCAGCCAATCGGTGATTCTCTCTCATCATTAACGTTTCTATCTCTCTCTTCCTCTCTTTCTAAAATAAAAAAAAAACATATAAAAAATTAAAATAAATCCAAAAATTTCTCATGGGAGAATTACTCCCTACTACCACACTGAAAAAAAAATCAGAAGTATGATATAATATAAAAGTAATAATAATAATAATACATACAAAGATAGAAGTGGGTAAAGACAGACCAGCCAGAATAAAGGGAGACTAAGGGGACTAACTCTTCAATATAATAGTGATTTTTTCCATTTCAATTCAAAGGAAGCAATGATAACGTTTAAAGGATTGGTTGTGAAAAATCTAAAGCATGTGATAAAATTAAGGGAAACAAACTTAGAAGATGCTGTAAGTAGAATTAGTTTGAGGCAAAAGGAAATGCTGGCAGCAAGATAAGGAAAAAACAACAAGCCTATTTCATAAGATGCAATGACAGGAGGTCCTGCAGCACTCAGAGAGAATAATCATGGGACTACTCTAATGCTCAGTAGGGGTACCCACAACAGTATCCACAAGAAAATCCTAACTTAAAATACTTCATATAAGAAAACTTGTAATAATAAGTTCTGTAGCAAACTTGAATTAGTTGACTGCTATCTTAACCTGACAATAAAATTGCACTGTGAAACAAAAGCAGAAGTGGTTAGGCAATAAATTGTGTGAAATTACATGCTGTGTTATGCTGGAAAGATAAAGCATCACAAACCTATAAACATATCCATACAATGTAAATAAACAAATGGACTTGTGGTTGGTTCAGGGCATCCTCCATCTGACTATTTCCATGCTCCACACTCATACCCTGTCACTGATTTATTGTTACTCACTGGAAAATGCAAAAACAAATTAAATATTGTATGAACATATTAGCTTTAATTTCTTAAGATTTAATTTTCATCCATCTTTAAGTTTACTACTTGATAATAACTAACACACAGCAAAGCCAATAGTGGCCAAAAAAACTTTTTTTTCTTTTCCTCAAGGGATCAGCAAAAGGAAATGTTTTGTGGCTCACCGAAAGCCATTCCAACTGCAAATCTGGTAGAAATAAGCACATCTTTCACAACACCAAACAAGCTATATTACTTTGCCTCGCTTAACACATGACTCACTACTAATGATAGAGTGGATGTGACAGAGTTGTTACATAAGTTCACTCTGGTATGATCCAGGCCCAGGCTAAACGGAATGAGAGAGCCATCCTTTACACTGTGCACAGCTGATCCTTGACCTCAATCGCAGGCATGTAGAGGCTGGTGTGCATCCATATCTTCCAAGACTTTGAGGCCAAAATGTAAACCTCTGAAACTTCAAAATGACACATTCCATAAAAAATGCATTATCATTTACAATGAAAAGAGAGCTAGTAGTTGGATTATATACGATACATCAGGCCAGGAGAGAGATGTTTTCCCAATGAGATTTCATTTAAACTCCACAGTGATGTTGAATGAAACAACTGTGAAAACGCCTTCCCTACAGAAGTCCTATGAAAATGACTAAAGGAAAACATAGTGGATAGCCCTCTTTAAGATGCCCGTTTTGAGTGAGAAGGGAAGACTATGGAATGAGGCTAACTCTGCAAGAACAAAGTCAATGTCCTCCCAAAATGTTCTTTACTAGCAAAACCTAAATCTCATACCAACATTAATAGGAAATGTGGGGGACATGGAAAAAACTCTCGACCACTCACCATAATGCATGTAACAGTTTCCTTTGGTGGGATCCAGCTCAATAGCCTTCAAGAAGAACTTTTCAGCCTCACTCTTACGACCCTTGAAAAACAGAGAAAATGGATGATTCAGCAGCGGATCATGAGGGATTCTTCTCCTCCTGGGCCCCATGAAGTGGACTGATGTCTCTACTTGATAATCATCATAAAAAAATGTATTGTTTTTATCTGCACAAAGATGATCAAGGAGAATGTACTGAGAGAGAAGACTGAGGCCGGAGTCCTGGGAAACACCAAGATTAGAAGAACAGACAAAAGTGAGTTCATCAAAGATCAAAGAGAAGAAGCCAGGGGAGCAAGAAAAAAAGTTAAAAATGGTTTCACAGAAACCAAAAGGATAAGACAGATAGAAGGAATGATGAGAAACACCGTCATCATTGTCTATTTTATATTCTCCCTTCAATTGCTTCCTTTTCATTCCTTCTTCTTCCTTGTAAAGAATTATGGCCATTTTAGCTTTGGAGATGATTTTATCCTAATTGCTCACTTTATACATGAAGAAACTAGTCAAATTTGTTGAATATCAAACAATACAGTTTATCTAGGACTTGCTGCTGTCATTCAGGACTAACATACTGCTAATCCAGGATTCAATCCAAAACTAGGTTATCTTCCTAGCTATAGCCTTAAACATTACTGACTGCATCTATGCTGACCGCAAGTGGCATCAAGGCTCTGGGTAGTGTCCAGTAGCCATGGAACCAAGTTAAAAAAAAACACCAAAAAAAAAAATCCCCACACAATCTTATCTACCTGTTCCTTCTAATTTATATACTACCTACCACATGAACTTCAAATTATTTTTTTCTTTCTTAAAACCACTATTATCGAGATAAGTCTTCCAAAACTAGAAGTATATAATGAACCTAAGATTCTACACTACATGCAACTTCGATTCATTTTTCCATATACCCTCTCCTTTAAGTTTATTCCCTCATTTAAAAGATTCATTCTTGCTTGCACATTCTTTGCTCATTCATTTCCTAGCAGGTAAGACCTAGCCTACAGCCACTGCCATATACAGCCAGTGTTCATCAAATGATCAGACAACTGAGTTCATTTCCTTTTTAATTTTAATAATGTTTCTCCAGTCAACAATTCCTCTTTAACTCACACATCTCATCAAATATCCAGTAGTTAAAATTTTAATTCCCTGAAATATTTCTCCCAGCATTGTAACTCCAAAGGGAAAAAAAGGAAAACACAGGCAAAATGCTTCATACACATATCATACTTCCATGAAGTCAGTAAAAGTTCGCAATAATCTTACCAAATTAGGATTCCTAAATGATAAAATCACTGTAATGAGTCAGATAGTCTAACATATGAATTAAGAGCTAGATGCTAGGCAGGCACAGCAGCACCCACATTTGTGTAGCTATGTGACCATCAGAAAAAGATTTCATCTCTTAGCTGGAATTTTCTCTATTGCAAACCAGAAGATAGGTGGAGCACAGAAAATATTTAGGGCAGTGGAAACTAATCGGTATGATACTATAATAATGAATACAGGTAATTACACATTTATAAAATCCTATAGAATATATAACACAAAGAGTGAACCCTAATGTAAACTATGGACTTTAATTAATAGCAATGTGTCCATATTAGCTCATCAATTGTAACAAATGTACGTCACTAATGCAAGTTCATAATAATAGGAAAGCTATGTGAAAGGTGGCAAGATGGTGAGGGAGCATATGGGAATTACCTGTACATTTGATTCAATTTTTTTATACCTAACACTTCTCTAGAAATAAAGTATATTATTTCAAAAGAAGATAATGAAATAGTTCATAGGATATTAAATTTCTGAGGTAACACACATAAAGTCATTATTATATACTTACATACACTGTGATTTTATAATAAATGTTAATTATTATTTTTATATGTACATATATAGTATGCAACAGAATGCAGAATTCTGAATGACAAAGAGTATGTTCTTTTATACACACCACCTCAAAAACACATGGTCAGCTTTAAATCGTCACTGGAAAAATGATGTACAAAGAACTTGCAGATGATATTAAAAGAAAGATGCAAAAAGAAAACTATCATTGGTAGAGAGTCTGTACAAATGTTATATGCAAAGATAAAAAGGATCTGTGAACTTTCTTCCAGTTAAGTTTTTTAGGACAAAAGAGAAAAAACTGGTTCATTTATCAATGTCATAGTAAATAGGGTAGTAAAATCCTCATCTGTAGTCAACTGGCAAAATAATCGTATACGGCATTAAAAACAGCCACCAGAACGCAAAGGGCAGTGGTCTCTGGTTACTCCAGGGGACAGGTTATTAAAGGCAACGAGTCCCACCAGTTCCTTGATACAAAATAAACACATTGAAGGACAGAACACTCTTTCTGGGGGTAAGTATCAAACCATCATACAAAAACCTATCTTTTTGCTTTGACTACTATTTATTTAGTCAAGTGCCAAATAATAAAGAGGAAAATGATATCCTACAAGAATATACAAAATCAAATGTCAACCAAATGCAGAAGCCATGTAGATACACACATTACTAGCTCTTACTAAGGGATTATGGCAGCTGAGAGATAACACTCGGTGATCCCACTTCTAGGAATATATCCAAAGAACCTCGAAACACCAATCAGAAAGAATACATGCACCCCTATGTTCATAGCTAATTTACAATAGCTAAGATCTGGAAACAGCCCAAGTGCCTATCAGTAGAGGAGTGAATAAAAAAGATATGGTACATTTACACAAAGGAATACTATGCAGCTATAAAAAAAAGAAGGATCTCTTACCCTTTGAGACAGCATGGAAGGACCTGGAGAATATTATGCTAAGCGAAATAAGGCAGTCAGAGAAAGACAAGCATCACATGATCTCACTTATATGTGCAATCTAAGTAACAAAATAAACTGATGAATGGAGTGGATCCAGCGACATGGAATCATGCAACAGACTAAAGAATCTCAGAGGGAAGCGACAGGGCAGGTGTGGGAAGAGATCAACCAAAGAACTTATATGCATTTATGCATAACCCATGGACACAGACAACAGTGTGGTAGGCCTGGGTTGGGGGTGCCTACCACACTGTTGTCTGTGTCAATGGGGGGTGAGGGGAAAGGGGACATCTGGAATACTTTCAACAATAAGGATACATTTTAAAAAATTACTCTTTCAACTGTCATTGCTTTAGAGGGATGGTAGTTAAAAAGAGAAGAGAACTAAGTTTTCTCAGTATGTTTTTCTGGTGTCTTTTAGATTACGTCAGCATTTCTTAAAAGCATTACGGAGTAACCACTGGTTGTACAAACTCCTCAAATCAAGCACCATTACTCATTTTATATATTGGCTTGGATATCTGAACACGTGTGTTGGTTCAGAAAAAAAATGGGGGAGGGGACGACTGTGGTCAGCTGTGACAAATAAGGGAAATGTGAGTTAAACTCGGGATCTTCTGCCAGTTCTGTGACTTGTTTATTTGTTTGTTCCTTTATTTTTGTAGGTTAGAAATTATTTATTGAATGCCTACCATTTGCCTTACACAGTTCCAAGTACCAGGGATATAACGATGAACAGAGTGCTTGCCCTCTGTTCTCATTACAGGAGGCACATGATGAACATATTACCCAGTAGTAAGGGAATTAATTAGTCCCAGAGCACAGTGGGCAAACAATTTCTCCAATTCTCTTTCAAAAAAAACCAACCTAGACAGACAAGCCTGTGTTTGAATCTTGCTCTCTGTACTTACTTAACTGTGTGACTATGAGTATCTTTTATAATAACTTAGTCTCTTTTTCCTCATTTAGAAAAGTGAACACAATTTTGAAGGATTGCTAATAAGATCACAAATAACTAGCTTCAGATCTGGCACATAAAGTTCTGGCATTCTTTGATTTTTCTTTCTTCTATCTCTTAAAAAGAATTTGTCCTCCCAAGTTTAATGTCACCAAGTGGTTCCTAATTACCAAAATTCAAAAATCCATTTTAGAATTTCATTTCATGGTAGCAACTAAATGTCACCATTTTCCTACAAAATGACTCTCACTACTAATGCTTTCTCCTCTCTCAAATAAAAGCTCTTTTAGTTCACATCTAAAGTGCAACAACAGATTTCAGATTTCCTCAGTGAATTTCATTTCACCAGATTAATGTTTCTTAAGCAGAACTGTTTTGGGGATGCCTTTATCCAAAAATATTTTAATAGCTCTATGTTTTCACTTTTTTCTATTTTTTTATTTTTTAATAATTATTTATTGTTTAAAGTATTGCATATGTTCATATGTTCTCTCCCCCCCCCCCTCCGCATTGACCCCCTCCAGCCCACCCCTACCTCTTGCCCCAGGCCTTCAGCACCCTATTGTATGTGTCCATGGGTTATGCATATATGCATACAAGGTCCTTGGTTGATTACTTCCCATCCACCCACCCTCCCCTGCCTTCCCTCTGAGATTCCAACACCCTGTTCCATGCTTCCATGTCTCTGGATCCACTCTGTTCATCAGTTTATTTTATTACTTAGATTCCACATATGAGTGCGATCATATAATACTTTTCTTTCTCTGGCTGACATTTCACTTAGCATGATACTCTCCAGGTCCCTCCATGCTGTCTCAAAGGGTAAGAGATCCTTCTTTTTTATAGCTGCATAGTATTCCATTGTAAAACTCTTCCCTTCTCAAAAGAAAAAAAAATCATTAAAAAAATCTAACAGTTCAAGATGATTTACATCAAGTCACTTAATTCTCATGTCCCTTCAAGACACTAACTATGCTCTACCAGAGCTAACCTTAATTAGAGGCAAAGAGAAGGGACAGGGCAGTGCTGACTTTCATGATAAATATTTTACATCGATACTACCAAAACATTTCCCTCATCAAATCATCACATACCTAAATTTTGACTATCACATTCATATTTTAGGGAGAGAATAATATTTCTTCTGGGATGCATTATAATAGAATAAGGATACTGGATACAAAAATGAATGTGGCTGAATAGTTTACTGATAATAGATTGTGTTTTTCCTCCCTGAATTGTCTCTCATGTCTCATTTTCTCTGAA